GTCAAATAATATGGTTACAAGCAAAATCAAGCCGGGCCACTCCATTTGCATTCGAGACACTGGGCAGTATAGATTACAACTAATTAGCTCTTAACGATATTAGTTATCCTAGAGCTAAATAACCGTACGAAACTTAATCTCAAGTTAAGGATGATACGAAGTATAACTATAAATAACTCAAATGTAAGCTATGTTTCTTCTATGTTAAATTATGCAGTATTCGTTATTGACAATTCTTACCGTACCGTCGGCGCTTTCAAGGATAGAGAACATGGGGCCTATTGACAACTAGATGTATTTTCGTAAATGTGGGCGGTAGCCCCTTTAAAAATCGACAAGCCGGTACTTCGTCGAGGGTGTTCCTTTGTTCATTTCACCCGTAAACCATTTTATGTGACGTTAACAGGAAGCCTGTCCGAAAAAAGTGGGTCGTCGGTGTTTGCGATATTCTTTTTGTTTTTCGAACTGGGGCTGTTAAAAAGGTAAAAATCAGCCAATTTTTTAACCCTGAGTTAAGAAGTTAATCCCAGGTTCCGAACCAGACGTTAATTTTACTCTGAGTTAGGCATATTTAAATCAGCAGTTTAAAGTTAATCCACGACTTGTTGAAACCGAATTTAACTCTGAGTTAACTTTTTAACTCTGAGTTAAGGAATTTAACTCAGGTTAAAGTTAACCCACGCTCTTGCTTGCAAACCGGTTGTCCAGCGCGGTACGTTCGAGAGTACCTGGGGAGATAGACCACTAATCCGAGCGTAAGCTTGGCCGATGTTGATCATACGATATGTGATGATGGTATACAGTATGTATCAAGCTGAACCAGACAATGCGTACTAGACAATACCTCTGCAGGTGTACTGTGCTCTGTGCATATCTCGTACGAATACTGTTTTCATGATTTTTATACTCATAATTACATCCTAATATTAATGATTTTCCAAATTGCTCATTATTGCATTATTCAAGATAGTTTGGATACAACATTTGTTGAAGCATTACTATCCAAAATGTGGTATACCAGATCTTTGGCCGGGCGGGGATACCCAGATCTTCAATATCATGGGGTATCCCGCGACACTGGATGACCAGTAATAAAAATCTGAAGGTTCGACCGGCTGCTTCTACCTGCTACATACATGTCGTATACATGTGTTGCGGTAATTTGATATGCAGGGTTTCTGTACTTAACATAGGAGGCCGACAAGTGGTGCCCGCCGTTGTTACCAGAAATTCTTTAACATCGCCGTTCCTGTGCGGAACACTGCATTTAACCACCGCCCCCGTTGTCAACAATAGTGTAATCACTAGGCACGTGAGGCCGGGTTCTGGGCTCTGACTCCTCTTCTTGCGGGACCACAGAGAGACGTCCCTACCTACACTCCACTCCTCTTCCCAGCCGGAGGGGGCCGGTTCCCTCTCTCTCGCTTGCGTCCGCCTTCTGCAGCGTTCGCCGCATGCCGCTCAGCCGCAAGCATTGGAAATCTGGTACCTCCAAACCAAGAATCTACTATCCCGCGGCATATCGGGATACCGCTAATTTCGACCCCTGAGTATGTGTGAATGTTAGAAATTTATAGTTAGATTATTTCTCAATTTTTCCGGATTCTCCAAATTGTTGCTTACATCGTCTGCTTGCGTGTCGTCTGCAGCTCTCGACTCGTCGGAGGCGAGTTCCGAACACGGCTGGTCGTCTGCGTCGCGATTCCCCGTAGTTGGCACGGCAACGCAAAGCCAGTACGTCGTCGGCACGCTCCAGCCCGAATTCGCAGGTGGCGCCCTCGTGCAGCAGGCCTCGAACAAGTGCGTCTGTCCTCGTGTGTCCGCCGTTCATTTTTCGCGTTCCTTGTGTTTTCTGTCGCAATCCATGTGTGAATTGTGTAGTTGCAGTGTTCGAAATAAGGGCTATCCGTTTGTTCTCACTTGTCCTTTTCCACGGAGGACAAGTAGACCTGTCCAGTAGCTTGTCCGCTGGACAAGCACCATTTTAGAGCAGCTTTTTAGAGCAACTTTTCATAATTTTCTACCATCGCTTCAACTTTGTTAAGACTTCAAATAAATAATTGTGCTTCTTTATGCTCTTTCAAGTTTGGTGTCTAATTTGAACTGTTAGTGAACTGTATTAAAATTACAAAGTAAGATATTGGGTCTAAAATTTAATTTGATTAAATGTCTTACACATTTACTATATTTCTATATTATTAATCAGGACAAGCAAAAATTTTGCAGGGCAAGCAAAAATATCTTGTAGCTTGTCCGTCAGACAAGTACAATTTTTCTCTTATTTCGAACACTGAGTTAGTAAATAGTAATAGGCTAGCAATATTAAATAGTAATATTAAATAATAAATCAGGGGTTTTACTACATATTGTTGTTGTTGAAAGTGTACGAGCCGTGTAAGTAAGAGTTTCCACGAGCATTATATTACTTATTATTTATTTATTTATGTATTCTTTTTTTGTATTTGTAAAATTCATTCGTGTGCAGTTATTATAGTATTTATTTATTGTTTTTGTATTTTTTTATGCACATGATTTTATGTTAATGTTTTAGTCGCGTTTTTTTACGTGTCCTTATACGTTCAAAGCGCTTCTTTCGCGCGCCCGTTTAACACTTTGACCTCACCTTCTCACAGTGGCCTGGCGCTCGTAAACCAGGACCAGTGCCAGGTGGCAGCACCGCTGCAAGGCGACGGCACGCAGCATCTCGGGCAGCTCGCGTTGAAGAGCGATTCGCCCGCGCAGAGGGTGAGTGTAGCCACTCGTGTCATTTATTGTATTGTGTTGTGTGATTGCAGCAATCTCATCATATCTATATACAACTCAACACATAAATATATAATAATGTAACTATATCGGCAATATGTCAAAAATAGGATTGAAATGAGATTGAGAACTACACGTATTGCTTCCTGTCAAAGGTATGATTGTAATTTTGATTTGAAATTTTAATTGAAACTAGGAATGACATTATCAGGAGTGGATAATAGAGATATCTGTTATCAACTCCTGATATTATTATACAGATATATCTATCGTTTTCTTTTCGATGTACGAATTGAAGGGTAGGACGGAAGAGTACGATTTTTTTGCAGACGGTATGATTGAAGTTATTACGGAGATCTGCATCAACAATTAGATGTCTATGTAAACAGAATAGCGTGAGGGGTGCGGCGTTGCCATCAGAAATCACGGTTTTCACCACAACGTACGTCTGAAGACCGTCGTGAAAAATTTCATCATTGCAACTCCCTCCAGGCATGCGACAGCTGATACAGCAGCCTAGGGTTTGCCCAACCGTTCAGCCACGAAAACCATTGTGAATATCAGGGTTTCAAAGATTCCGAGATTGCCAGATTTCAGTCCGACTATCTGACCGATTCGCAATTCAAACGACGGTTAAAATTCACATCATGAAAGCAGATATTTACGATATTTTCGCAATTATTGGGCACCGCGACACATTTTTCACGGCGACAAACTTTTTTTTAACAAAACCGTATCTTGTCCGGTAATTTTACCCACCTTTTCCATTGCCGGGTGTCTGTAGGTTTCTGAAAGTGTAAACAAGTTCGAAGTAAGTTTTCTAAAAAAAATTTAAATTGTGACATCGAACAATTGCATTCACAATTGCATTCATAATAATCTCACATTACGTAATTGAATACTGTATACACTATATATTTCGAGGTGGTTTATTTTTCGCAAATTTCGTAAAAATATGGCGTATACAGTAATGACAAAAATGTTAACGGCTCATTGCGACTCGAAGTCTCTGAGGTTGCGATCAGAAGTCACGATTTTCACCACAACGTTATTCTGAAGACCGTCGTGATAAGATTCATCATTGCAACTATTTGGGCATGAGCACTGCCCCCTGCTGGGAGAATGATGTACTAATGTTTCATAGCATTCAGGACATCAAAGCATCTACGTCTCAAGCCAACAAACAAATAAAAACAAAGGCAAACAAACAAATACACAAACGAACTAGCATTGAAACGGTTTTAGTGCCGACAACAAATATAGTCTATAGAAATACCGATTTACGTCGATGCCGATCATGATGATAGCGACTACCCACTACACTAGATTTTCCGATAAACTTACTTGTTCCAATCTTTGAAAATGTTTTCAATCTTTGGCGACCCTTTCGCCAAGGGTTTCTGAAACAAAATAACATGCCTGGTATAGAACGCAGATAACAGAGAACACGCGATAATCTTAATTCTACAGCGAACATTAACAATGTAAACTATATACACATGATAATGCCGCGAATAATTATTCCCAGTGGTACAGTCTATCAAACACAGACCGGCAGACAGCCACAGAATCGAATGGCATTAGTTAACCAGGTTGGTGCCCACAGCCACCTAATTAACCCGGAGTTAACGTCAGTCTAATGTTATTTTCAGCAACTGATGCATCACGTGGGTGGGAAAATACACGCCTGTAATATACGCAAGATACTTTGTTTATTTTGCAAATAGGTCCGATCGTACGAGTGTTATGTTATTGACACGCGAGGCGGTGCACACGCGACGCAAATGACCCTAAGTGGTCATCGGAAAAAGTGATTTTAAATCGAAAATAAACGACCGCACGTGCAGCGGTAACGTACGAAATTGAAGCGCTTACGATTCTGCTTTTTGTTTTTACGGTCTTGGCCGAATCTGGATAATTCCGCTCGAGGTATTCCACAATGAACGGCAAAACGCCATCAGGAACACGGTTTGCAACTTCCATGATGGCACGTGCGTTTGAAAGAGGGCGCTGCTGTGGTTCTTAAAATATTCCTAACTTTTGTTCCTCGTATGATAGAGAAAACCACGCAGTTATACGTAACTGTCGGGAATAGTTTCACGTTTTGTTAAATTCTATGTTTGGTGTTATAAGTGATCGTTAATTTATCAACGTGCGCTAGAATATTACGACAAATAAAAACTTTTGCGATATTACGTCACGCTGGCCATGTCGGTGTTGGGCCTGTTGGCAGTGTGTCGTAAAGCGTCACATTTTCTCTCACAAAATGGCGTGGTTTTCTCTGCTAGATTTTGATTGTTTGTGAGCCGGTTTTGCAGTTGGAAATAGACGTGATATGGACTCAAATCTGCTCTCGGGTAAGAAAGCGATTCACAGCTCACTTGATTATCAATGTTTTGAGCTCGTTAGTAATTCGCGCTAATGCGTAAACGTAGTTCAAAGTGACACATGCTAAGAAATTCCCCGGTTTTATTAATCTTGTCGGAGTTACCATACTTATCGGTTTGCAGTCATAAACCGTTCGTTTTTCCATGCTAAATCGCAATAATAAAAAATACGTGTAAACCCATTCTGCATTGCGACCGCGACACCAACGTGTGTATTGGTCCTTTAAGGTTACGCGCAACCTTTCGTAAGTTATTTGTGATTAATCCAGGTTATTTCATTGTTACGAACAGTGAAGCCTGAAGCCTGAAGGTGTTCACTCAGACTGTCGCCCAAACTGTCATTGACATTGTTGTAGGCTGGTGCCGGTGGCTGTTCCTAGTTTCACGTCTCAGGCACGTCACGTATCCCTGAGCGCATTTCGGCTTGGGTTCACTCCGCATTAGCCAGTACTACTGCTGAGAGGGTCTATGTCCCCCAG